CTATGGTGTTCCAGGCTGTATTAGTTGTGAAACAATTTCCACAATGTCTTAATTATGTGCCAAACTCGTAATTCAGATATTCATCTCTATGATCATATCATAGATCTTTTATCCTCTTGTCACGACGATCTTTCAACTTCACCCTGAAATTACTTGAACCTTTCAATAATTCAGACTCGTGATTTATCAAATAAATGTACTCAACATCTACTCAAATCATCTGTGAAGTAAGAACATAACGATATCCACTACACGCCTCAGCACTCATTGGACTGCACACATCAAAATGTATTACTTCCAACAAGTTGCTTTCTAGTTCCATTTTACTGAAAACGAGGCTTTCAGTCATCTTGCCCATGTGGTATGATTTGCATGTCTCAAGTGATTCAAAATCAAGTGAGTCCAAATGATCCATCTGCATGGAGTTTCTTCATGCATATACACCACTAGACATGGTTCGCATGTCTCAAACCTTTCAAAAACGAGTGAGTCCAAAGATCCATCAACATGGAGCTTCTTCATGTGTTTTATACCGATATGACTTACGTGGCAGTGCCACAAGTAGGTGGTACTATCATTACTATCTTATATCTTTTGGCATGAACATGTGTATCACTATGATCGAGATTCAATGAACCATTCATTTTAGTTGCACGACCATTGAAGGTATTATTCAAATAAACAGAGTAACCATTATTCTCCTTAAATGAATAACCGTATTGCGATAGACATAATCCAATCATGTCTATGCTCAACGCAAACACCAATCTCGATGGTAGAGGGAGCGTGCGATGCTTGATCATATCAACATTGGAAACACTTCCAACACATATCGTCAGCTCACCTTTAGCTAGTCTCCGTTTATTCCGTAGCTTTTATTTCGAGTTACTGACACTTAGCAACCGAACCGGTATCTAATACCCTGGTGCTACTAGGAGTACTAGTAAAGTACACATCAACACAATGTATATCCAATATACTTCTATCGACCTTGCCAGCCTTCTCATCTACCAAGTATCTAGGGTAATTCTGCTCCAGTGGCTATTCCCCTTATCACAGAAGCACTTAGTCTCGGGTTTGGGTTCAACCTTGGGTTTCTTCACTAGAGCAGCAACTGATTTGCTGTTTCATGAAGTATCCCTTCTTGCCCTTGCCCTTCTTGAAACTAGTGGTTTCACCAACCATCAACAATTGATGCTCCTTCTTGATTTCTACTTTCGTGGTGTCAAACATCGCGAATATCTCAAGGATCATCATATATGTCCCTGATATATTATAGTTCATCACGAAGCTCTAGCAGCTTGGTGGTAATGACTTCGGAGAAACATCACTATCTTATCTGGAAGATTAACTCCCACTCAATTCAAATGATTGTTGTACTCAGACAATCTGAGCACAAGCTCAACAATTGAGCTTTTCTCCCTTAGTTTGCAGGCTAAGAAAATCGTCGGAGGTCTTATAACTCTTGACGTGGGCACGAGCCTGAAATCCCAACTTCAGCCCTCAAAACATCTCATATGTTTCGCGACGTTTCAAAACGTCTTCGGTGCCTCAATTCTAAACCGTTTAACTGAACTATCACGTAGTTATCAAAATGTGTATGTCAGATGTTCGCAACATCCATAGACGACGTTCGAGGTTCAGCACACTAAGCAGTGCATTAAGGACATAAGCCTTCTATGAAGCAATGAGGACAATCCTCAGTTTACGAACCTAGTCCGCATAATTGCTACTATCAACTTTCAACTAATTTTTCTCTAGGAACATATCTAAACAGTAGAACTAAAGCGTGAGATACGACATAATTTGCAAAATCCTTTTGACTATGTTCAGGATAATTAAGTTCATCTTATGAACTCCCACTCAGATAGACATCCCTCTAGTCATCTAAGTGATTACATGATCCGAGTCAACTAGGCCGTGTCCGATCATCACGTGAGACGGACTAGCCAACGTCGGTGAACATCTTCATGTTGATCGTATCTTCTATACGACTCATGCTCGACCTTTTGGTCTTCTGTGTTCCGAGGCCATGTCTATACACATGCTAGGCTCGTCAAGTTAATCCTAAGTGTTTTGCATGTGTAAAACTGTCTTACACCCGTTGTATGTGAACGTAAGGATCTATCACACCCGATCATCACGTGGTGCTTCGAAACGACGAACTGTAGCAACGGTGCACAGTTAGGGGAGAACACTTCTTGAAATTTTAATGAGGGATCATCTTATTTACTACCGTCGTTCTAAGCAAATAAGATGTATAAACATGATAAACATCAATGCAATCAAATAATAGTGACATGATATGGCCAATATCATATAGCTCCTTTGATCTCCATCTTGGGGCTCCATGATCATCTTGTCACCGGCATGACACCATGATCTCCATCATCATGATCTCCATAATCGTGTCTTCTTGAAGTTGTCTCGCCAACTATTACTTCTACTACTACAGCTAACGGTTAGCAATAAAGTAAAGTAATTACATGACGTTTATGTTGACACGCAGGTCATAAATTAAGACAACTCCTATGGCTCCTGCCGGTTGTCATACTCATCGACATGCAAGTCGTGATTCCTATTACAAGAACATGATCAATCTCATACATCACATATATCATTCATCACATCCTTTGGCCATATCACATCACATAGCATACCCTGCAAAAACAAGTTAGACGTCCTCTAATTGTTGTTTGCATGTTTTACGTGGCTGCTATGGGTTTCTAGCAAGAACGTTTCTTACCTACGCAAAGACCACAACGTGATACGCCAATTGCTATTTACCCTTCATAAGGACCCTTTTCATCGAATCCGATCTAACTAAAGTGGGAGAGACAGACACCCGCCAGCCACCTTATGCAACTAGTGCATGTTTGTCGGTGGAACCGGTCTCACGTAAGCATACATGTAAGGTTGGTCTGGGCCGCTTCATCCCACGATGCCGCCGAATCAAGATAAGACTAGTAACGGCAAGCATATTGAACAAAATCAACGCCCACAACTACTTTGTGTTCTACTCGTGCATAGTAACTACGCAATAGACCTAGCTCATGATGCCACTGTTGGGGAACGTAGCATAAATTCAAAATTTTCCTACGTGTCACCAAGATCTATCTATGGAGTCATCTAGCAACGAGGTAGGAGTGGATCTACATACCCTTGTAGATCGCGCGCGGAAGCGTTCAAGAGAACGGGGTTGATGGAGTCGTACTCGTCGTGATTCAAATCACCGATGATCCTAGCGCCGAACGGACGGCACCTCCGCGTTCAACACATGTACGGAGCAGCGACGTCTCCTCCTTCTTGATCCAGCAAGGGGGGAGGAGAGGTTAATGGAGATCCAACAACACGACGGCGTGGTGGTGGAAGTAGCGGGATTCCAACAGGGCTTCGCTAAGCGCTGCGGGAGGAGGGAGATGTGTCACGGGAGGGAGAGGGAGGCGCCAGGCCTTAGGTTTTCTTGCTCCTCCTTTTCCCCACTATATATAGGGCCAAGGGAGAGGGGGAGGCGCAGCCCTTGCCCCTTCCTCCAAGGAAGGGTGCGGCCAAGGGGGGGAGGAGTCCATCCTCCCCAAGGCACCTCGGAGGTGCCTTCCCCCTTTAGGACTCTCCCCTTTTTCCCATCTCTTGGCGCATGGGCCTCTTGGGGCTGGTGCCCTTGGCCCATATAGGCCAAGGCACACCCCCTACAGCCCATGTGCCCCCCCGGGGAAGGTGGCCCCACCCGGTGGACCCCCGGGACCCTTCCGGTGGTCCCGGTACAATACCGGTGACCCCGAAACTTGTCCCGATGGCCGAAATAGCACTTCCTATATATAATTCTTTACCTCTGGACCATTCCGGAACTCCTCGTGACGTCCGGGATCTCATCCGGGACTCCGAACAACTTTCGGGTTACCGCATACTAATATCTCCATAACCCTAGCGTCACCGAACCTTAAGTGTGTAGACCCTACGGGTTCGGGAGACATGCAGACATGACCGAGATGTTCTCCGGTCAATAACCAACAGCGGGATCTGGATACCCATGTTGGCTCCCACATGTTCCACGATGATCTCATCGGATGAACCACGATGTCAAGGACTTAATCAATCCCGTATACAATTCCCTTTGTCTAGCGGTATTGTACTTGCCCGAGATTCGATCGTCGGTATCCCTATACCTTGTTCAATCTCGTTACCGGCAAGTCTCTTTACTCGTTCCGTAACACATCATCCCGTGATCAACTCCTTGATCACATTGTGCACATTATGATGATGTCCTACCGAGTGGGCCCAGAGATACCTCTCCGCTTACACGGAGTGACAAATCCCAGTCTCGATTCGTGCCAACCCAACAGACACTTTCAGAGATACCCGTAGTGTACCTTTATAGCCACCCAGTTACGTTGTGACGTTTGGCACACCCAAAGCACTCCTACGGTATCCGGGAGTTGCACAATCTCATGGTCTAAGGAAATGATACTTGACATTAGAAAAGCTTTAGCATACGAACTACACGATCTAGTGCTATGCTTAGGATTGGGTCTTGTCCATCACATCATTCTCCTAATGATGTGATCCCGTTATCAATGACATCCAATGTCCATGGTCAGGAAACCGTAACCATCTATTGATCAACGAGCTAGTCAACTAGAGGCTTACTAGGGACATGGTGTTGTCTATGTATCCACACATGTATCTGAGTTTCCTATCAATACAATTATAGCATGGATAATAAACGATTATCATGAACAAGGATATATAATAATAACTAATTTATTATTGCCTCTAGGGCATATTTCCAACATGACCATCCCCGAGTGTTCAGGTGGTTGATGCACGAAAAAATTTGCGGACCTCCCGATCATGCAGTAGCGTCAGGTGATGCCAAGGATGTGATGGATCAGTATCATGCAGCCAGATCCATCGAACGCGAAGCGAGACACCTGTACGTTGGAGGTCTCGGACACCAAGGCCTCCAAGCTCGAGAGGGCAGCAAACCTTGGGCCAATTCACTAGGAAAGCGCCACTCTGACGTCACGACCATGCCATAGGAAGTAACGAATAACTTGGTGAACCTTCTTGAGGATGGGAGGTGAGATGGCCATGGCAAGAAGAATCTGGACTGGCATGGCGGAAAGCACATGCCAGACAAGCGCCAGCCGCTCAACACGGGAGAACATGGATGCCTTCCAAGTCGCCGATTTCTTGCGAAGCTTGCCAGCTAGCGGGAACAGCTGCGATGAGGGAACCTTACCGATAAAGAGCAAAAGTCCAAGATATTGCACCAGGAAGGATGTGACGGGGAAATAAAGGGTCGTCGCAATGTCTTCTAAGACCACTTGCGAGCACTAGAGATTGGCGTAGCCAAGCATTTATTATAGTTGATGCACAAACTGGATGTCGTACCAAAGGTATTGAGTAGTGCACAAACTGCCTGCAACTCGTCGGTGTTAGGGAGGAAGAAGATGACCACATCATCTATGGAAAGAGATATGTTGGATGCTGCGTAACGAGGGGTAAGGTGCCGGAGAACTCCAATCTGAATAGTGTGCTGGAGTAGGGAGTTAAGCCCATTGATGACCATGGTGAAGAACATCGACGATAAGGGACCACCCTGGCAGAGACCACACATGTGCAGGATTGGTGGCCTGGTAGTACCATTCATCAAGACCCAAGTAGAGGCGGTGGAGATGAGGATGAAGATCCACTTGCACCAGCAAGGCCCAAAACCAAGGTGCTCTAGAACCTCAAGGAGAAATGGCCAAGATACCGAATCAAATGCCCACACGATGTCGAGCTTGAGAACCACCCGCGCTAACCTAAGCCTGTGTAGTTGTCTCATTGTTTGTTGCACTAGCATGAAGTTGTCATGGGCGCAACGCCCAAAAATGATATGGGATTATGGAGATCTGATATATAGCCAACATCATGATATCCAACCATGATCATATCTTGATTTTTCACATAAACCAAGATCATTGGCCTCTACAAGATATCCAAAAATATTCTTCGTACCAACCCAACACCTTTCCATTGGTGATGCATTGTATCTATCTGATAATTCACTTCTAATAATATTTCATACCTGGTGCAGTTTGCTAGATACATTAGTGCTTCATTGCACCATGATATGGAGACTCAGTTCCAATACCCCTTCATGACCGCCCTTAGGTATAAATGAGTATTTATCTGTATTAATCAAGAGATCTCACGGTCTAGTTTTTTTGATGGTGTGATTTATCCATGTTGAACTTTTCAACAATCTTTTGGATAAATGCAGATCGATAAACAAGTACTCTTGAAGGAATACGCTCAAGTTCCAAACTCAATCAAAGTTAGGTCTCAACCAAATATTTTATCTGAAACTACGTCTTAAGATAATTTGCTTGTGATGTATTTCTTGTGTAGTGCCAATGATAATCAGATCATCAACATACACAAATGACGCAAAGTCCTTTTTTGAATTTCTTGATGCATACATGAGGAATCATCATTTTGTGAGTAACTCTTCTAACAAAGGAACCCACTCAGTCAGTTATACCACATTCATCCTGACTGCTTTAAGCCATATAATGACTTTTGAAGCTTTACACAATACATGTTGCAATTAGCTTTTCAATTAAGTATCTTCGTTCCCCCAGGAACTATCATAGGTATATCCGAATCACGTGACTCATGCAACTATGCAGTCAAGACATCCATCAGTTGGATATACAAAATTAATATTCATTGCAATAATATCAAATATCAGAACATCATTCCGCTAATAACATGAGAATATGTTTCATCTTAAAACGACGATGGGTCTCTGCGTGAATCCATGTGCTACAAGCCTCGCTTCATGTCTTACCACCTCATTGTGTTCGTTCTTCTCATGAACAAAAAAACTCATTTTGCTCCCCTCAGTGAACAAATTCAGAGGAGTGGGTATTACTGATCAAGTCAACACTCATCTTCTTGAGAGCGAGCACAATTTATCCTCAATTTCTACCTTACTTTGGGTCAACCTAAGCGCTCACGGCACTCAACCATGCATGGACTTAGGTTTTGGATCCAATCCAAACTCTTTTGCAATTCTGAAGGAAAATCAAGAGTCGATAAAATATAGTATTTCTATTATATAATTCTCCTTGAATCCACATAAATAGTGAAGATTTATTCAATACCTTTTGACTCGATTTCCCACAACAATTGACGCCAGGTCTTCCGATGTCCCCGCACAAAAATTTGTGCACACACTCGCACCGGGTCCCGAATGTTCAACATCCCTTAGGTGTTCTTCAACCCTATGTTCATATTAATAGGAAGTTGACATGCATTTACTGTCACGAACCTCGTTGCTTTTAGACACTTTTGTGAAGCCTTGTCCTATTGTGTCCAGATTTCTCCTCTTCTTGGGTGGCTGAGTGGACCTATGGGTCACATCCACTCTCACTAACACATTCACAATGAAAATGTTTTAATTTGTGACACCTATATACTCACTCACTAAATGCAACTGGCAGATTATTTATGATGTGTTGCAAATTGATAATCTTCTGAATCTCCAGTTCAGATTCATCAGTATGTGGCTCTAAGGACAGGGTATCTGACAACCCATAAGTGTAGGGGATCTATTGTAGCCCTTTTTGATAAGTAACAGTGTCAAACCGGACAAGGAGCAGAAGAAATTGGTCAATATATTTCTTCTAATCTCACGTCAGCCCTCCCCGGTATAATCTGTAAAATCAGCGTGTACGTTTAGCAAAGTTCGTCCGTCAGAGAGAAATCTCGGATAATCTTTACGCCTAACTGATTGTTTCATAATTACACCAAGATACCTGATGACAAGACCAAGCGAATGCAATGGATATACAAACACCATGTTACTAATCACAACCAAAATCAATCAATCCAAAACAACACTAGTGCCACCAGCCCACAGCAATCCAAGGCATATTTTACATGCTGAAGCAGTGGTAGAAATTACAGAAAATCAAGTGTCCCTTGAGTAATACACCCTCTCTTCCTAAATATAAGACGCTTTTGCAGTTTCAATTGAACTGCCAAAATGTCTAATATCCAGAAACAGAGATAGTATGTTCTCCATTCTCTAGTGGAGCCTGCGTTACTGACTCACTGTTACCTTTTGCTCGATCTTGAGGAACAACCTCCGACACATCTGCGCCTACAAATGTTCCATCCATTCATTCTTCACATATTGAAAGAACCGTAGTTAACCTCTGAAACGCCGCGAACTCCGATCAAGCAGAGTATGCATGTTCTACCTTGATGGCGATTCATTACTTGTGCCGGATTCCTAATCTCATGGACTTGACCTTGAATCTGACTTTCCATTGTTCCCGTCCATGTACCACCTCTTCAATCTCTCCTGAGTAACCTCCACCTGAAAAAATAGAATAGAAACCATAACTGAGTACATCTCCTACTCATGAAGAATTCTATTCAGTAGATAAGTCATATGAAGACTTTACTTAGCAATGTTTGATTACAGTGATGAACGAACAGTTAACCAAGCTAACCTGTTTATCCCAGTCGGTCCTAATTGTTATGAACAGAAGTACAATTGTTTGAACCAGTGTCCCGAGCAGCATGCCAACCCAAATGCCCTGTAACAACAACCAATGAGAGTTAGGACCAGAACACTGATCCAGGAGACACAAGGACAATGATTTTAATTTGTAACTAGTAGTCGACTGATAGGTACAACAGCAATGTCTAAAATAATTATCGTACCTTCACATGGTATCCAAGAACATAACCTAGGATCGCTCCAAGAGGGATACCAATCAAGTAATATGTTGCGATGTTAACATAGGCAACGACACTTTGCCAACCGGCACCAACGGCAACACCTATCAAACGAAGTTATAGTATCAGTAAACCAAATGGACCTTTCATTAGTATGACAGGCAAATCGTTTGCCTCGTTTTGAAAAAAGTAAGCAAACTAGAAGATTTGGAATTCAGTCAAATGCTAAAGCAAACCTGATAGCACTGGTTGAACACTGTTCAGCAAGATGGAGAAGGCCAGAAGAGGCGACAGGTCAGCAACTAAGGCAGCCACCTCTTCACTCGTGGTAAATATGTAGGAAAGCTTCCCACGGAAGAAAAGAAAGAAGACGAACAACACAAGGCCTATTGAGAAAGAAGTCGCGACGACATTTAAGATGGCAAACTTGGCCCTTTTTGCACTTCCAGCTCCGAGCTCGTTTGCCACACGCACTCTATAAGACACAAAATCATTATCATCAAAAATCTGAAAACTGATTCAGTCACATGATACGAGTAACAGAGAGCTCTAAATCAACAAGTTACCCTGTTGCAGCCAAAAAGCCGATAGAGATCATCATCTCCCAACCATTGATGTTAAGGCTGCAGATTTCACAGATAGAAACCACAGTACCTAATTAGTTGATATGCAATGGCAGGGAAACAATATGAAACAATGCAATGATAATATGAAATGATGAACTGTGAAGTAAAGAGTAATAAGTATGTATTACCATATTGAAAGAGCGTCAAGTGCACTCTCTGCATTCTTCATGTACCCGGTTAGGAGGACCAGTATGGTGCTGTACCACAATTCCAAACTGAAAAGACAAATAGGGAAAAACATGCATTATTGACAAGGACGGTGAAGTATAAAATGTCGACCCACACTTGGTGAGTAGGTACACTTTGGCAGCTGAAATAGTATATATAGTGAAAGCTCAAGTTTGTTCATACCAGAGCATCACACCAGAGGACAGAGAGAGCTTGAAGATAGGGACGAGGTCGGTGAGTGCTGTGAAGGAGAAGCCCGTCCACGTGAGAGGGCAGCCACCGAAGAGGACGAAGATGAGCTGCCCAAACGCAGGTATCCACATGGCGATGACCATGGAGGTCATGACCCCGGCGAGCCCAAGGTGCAGCTTGACGGTCAGGAGCCACGAGAGGAACAGATGGAGGCCGAGGTTGACGAAGGCGAGGTAGGTGATGATCATGTTCTTGCTCTGCGCCTGCAGGTACATCTGGAGCGTGAAGTTGAAGACGCTGGCGAACATGACGGGGATGTACCATATGGAGATGGTGCCGGCGACGGCGCTGATCGTTGGGTCCTGGCCGATGAAGACGAGCAGCGGCTCGGTGAATATGAAGATGGGGAGCATGAGCACGGCGCAGCCGCTGAGGATGATCCAGGACCGCTGCAGGTAGATGCCCATCATGTGGTACTGCTTCGCCCCGTACGACTGCCCGCACAACGTCTCCAGCGCGCTCGCCATGCCGAGCTGCATTCAGTTCACTTACGTTATTAGTAGTTGTGTTTGAGATCATCAGCCTTTTCTGGTTTGATACAAATTTGCTTCTGATGCAGTGAAGACTCTGAAATGTCTGAACCGGTGCAATGCCACTGGTCTACCGGACAAAGAGCAAATGGTATTAAGTAGTAACTTAGACCGGCTCGGGATGGAAAATGACAGAAAAATCCAATGGGGTTGTTTTCGCCCAAAGAAAAATCATATGGGGTTTGTCCCGCTTTGACATGAGCAGTGACTTGAAAGTACTGCGTGTACCAGAACTACTTTACTTTTGGTGTACAAGTCGACAGCAAACTGGAGTTTGATTTGCCAAAAATGAAGAATACGGTGCCAAGCATGGACCACGATACAGTTGGCGTATATGTTTGCCCGCACATTTCCTATCAATATCATGTCGTGTCACATCATCGGTATCAAAATGCGCTACTTGCACATAGAGAAACCGTGTTCTATTTTTGCGAGGAAACACTGTTCTTAATTCTTATTCTGCCCCGTTGTTTGTATGTTAATGATGATGTTGAAACTGTCTACAGACTGAAGCAGGGGCGCGCTCCTGGTTTGGTTCTACAAATTTAATCAGTTTTTTGTATATACAAGTATACTAAAAACTTAAGCACTTCAGTTATGGTCAAGCCTTAATTCTTTGTCAGATTGAAGCAAAATCATGATGTTCGGAAAAAGAAAAGGAAGAAGCAAAGCAGGAAGGTGATTACCAGTATGCCGTTGCTGAAGCGCATGAGCACGGTGGAGACGAGGGCGTAGGCGGCGAGCTCGGTGGGGCCGATGTGGCCGATGAAGGCCTGGCTGATCACGGTGACCCCGAAGGTGGAGAAGCGCGTGCAGATGGACGGCCCCGCCACCGCCCACAGCTTCCGGTTCTCCTCCAGCAGCTGACGCCCCAGCCCCACCCCCTCTTCTTCCGCCCCTCCCTCGCCGACCATGTCACTCCCGCCATTCTCCGCCGCCGCCGGCCTGGGCTCCAGCAGCGGGGCCTGGCTCTCCTCCCCCCTCTTCTCCATTGGCTGAAAGGCCCAGTGAATCAGCCACGTCTATCCTAGTAGAATCTTGGAGAGAATCTGATCAAGGCGCGGATTTGACACACGCAGCCAGGCCTAACAACGGGCAGCCGTCTTTATAGAGGAGGCGGCAAGAGAGAGAGAGAGTTCGCTGGTGCCGGGGGCGTGCGTGCTTGGTACTGGTAGATGCGACGCGAGGACGAGTTTACCCCTGTGGCACCTTCTGCTTCTTGGTTGGTAGGGGGGAGCAGGACGGGCAGATCGGGCATATGTGCCCGGCCATTGGTCACCAGCGTTTACACGCCCCGCGGTTCAAGCTAACCTTAACCTGTGGCGTTCCACGGTTGCAGCGCGCGGTCTGGGCGCTGGCACGTAGACGCCTGGACCTCGCCGATCGTGGCACTGTCGCTAGCTCTCGTCAGTACGCACGTTGGCCGTCCGACGCAGCAGTTGAACACGTTGGGTGACGGCCCACGACGAGATTCATTGATGATCGAACCCCTCCCTCTCCCTGCAGAGAAGTCATTGCCCGCATATGAGGGCGGCTAGTCCCGAACATTTAATTAGTCATACATATATTATAAAGTTGTACGGAGTAGTACTTTTTATCAGTTCCAGAAAATACTACTTCCGTGCATTCGAGGCGTGGGCTGCGGCCGAAAATTTCGCAATCCAGCTCCCGCACCCATCCTCCGATTTCCTCGGATCGATCCACATACGCACGTCTTCCTCCGATTTGTTTTCTTCCCTCATTTTCTTTATCGAAACTTTCTCATTTCGTTTATGTCTAGTCATAATGAGTAGTAACATAAAGCAGTAACATACTTATGTTGCTATCTCTCTAATGGGGAGTAACATATGTGGGTGTAAGACTAATCATAGTGGGTAGTAACATAGAATAGTAAGCCCAGGTTACTACTCTATGTAGTAATATAGAATAGTAAGCCCATGTTACTACTCTATGTTACTACCTCTCTACTAGGGAGTAATATATGTGTGGTTACATGCAACACTTCATTTATTATGCTATAGACTCATCATATCTAGATATGTGTGATGTTACTTATACTGGTAGTGAGTAAGGCTAGTCGTAGTGGGAGTAAGACTAGCCATAATGGATAGTAACATAGAGTAGTAACATGCTCATACTACTACTCTATGTTACTACTACCTCTCTAGTAGGGAGTAACATATGTGTGGTAACATGCAACACTTCATGTATTATGTTATAGACTCATCATGCCTTGATATGTGTGATGTTACTTATACTAGTACTTTCTCCGTTTGGAATTACTTGTCGCAGAAATGGATGTATCTAGACGTATTTTAGTTTTAGATACATCCATTTCTGAGACAAGTAATTCCGAACGGAGGGAGTAGTAACTAGCTATGTTACTACATGCCTCTCTTTCTTCACTTATTGCTCGTCACATCATCTATTTTATCTAGATATGTGTGATGTTACTGCCTATGTTACGACCAGTGTGACCATATCACGTCACAAAATGCCCTGCAAAAACAAGTTAGATGTCCTCTACTTTGTTGTTGCAAGTTTTACGTGGCTGCTACGGGTTGAGCAAGAACCGTTCTTACCTACGCATCAAAACCACAACGATAGTTCGTCAAGTTAGTGATGTTTTAACCTTCTCAAGGACTGGGCGTAGCCACACTCGATTCAACTAAAATTGGAGAAACTGACACCCGCCAGCCATCTATATGCAAAGCACGTCGGTAGAACCAGTCTCGCGTAAGCGTACGCATAATGTCGGTCCGGGCCGTTTCATCCAACAATACCGTCGAACCAAAGTATGACATGTTGTTAAGCAGTATGACTTGTATCGTCCACAACTCACTTGTGTTCTACTCGTGCATATAACATCTACGCATAGAACCAGGCTCGGATGCCACCATTGGGGAACGTAGTAATTTCAAAAAAATTCTTACGCACATGCAGGATCATGGTGATGCATAGCAACGAGAGGGGAGAGTGTCGTCCACGTACCCTCGTAGACCGTTAAGCGGAAGCGTTATGACAACACGGTTGATGTAGTCGTACGTCTTCATGATTGACCAATCCACAGTACCGAACGTACGGCACCTTCGCGTTCAGCACACGTTCAGCCCGGTGACGTCCCGCAAACTCAAGATCCAGTAGAGCTCGGGGAAGAGTTTCGTCAGCACGAAGGTGTGGTGACGATGTTGATAAAGCTACCGTGGCAGGGCTTCGCCTAAGCACCGCTACAGTATGACCGAGGTGGATTATGATGGAGGGGGCACCACACACGGCTGGGAGACATCTTTGTGATCAACTTGTGTGTCTAGAGGTGCCCCCCTGCCCCTGTATATAAAGGAGCAAGGGGGAGGCCGGCCGGCCCTTGTTGGTGCGCCAGGAGGAGGAATCCTCCTCCTAGTAAGAGTAGGATTCCCCTCTTTCCTACTCCTACTAGGAGGGGGAAAGGAAGGGAGAGAAAGAGAAGGAAAGGGCCCCCCTCTCCTAGTCCAATTCGTACCAGAGGGGAGGGGCGCGCTGCCTGCCCTAGGCCGGCCCCTCTCTCTTTCCCTTATGGCCCAACAAGGCCCATTAGCCTCCGGGGGGTTCCGGTAACCCCTCTGGTACTCCGCTAAAATCCCGGTTTTACCCAGAACTCTTCCGATGTCCAATAGGCTTCCAATATATTAATCTTCATGTCTCGACCATTTTGAGACTCCTCGTCATGTCCGTGATCATATCCGGGACTCCGAGCTACCTTCGGTACATCAAAACACATAAACTCATAAAACCGATCGTCATAGAACTTTAAGCGTGCGGATTCTACGGGTTTGAGAACTATGTAGACATGACCGAGACATGTCTCCGGTCAATAACCAATAGTGGAACCTGGATGCTCATATTGGTTCCTACATGTTCTACGAAGATCTTTATCAGTCAAACCGCATAACAGTATACGTTGTTCTCTTTGTCATCGGTATGTTACTTGCTCGAGATTCGATCGTCGGTATCCCAATACCTACTTCAATCTCATTACCGGCAAGTCTCTTTACTCGATTCGTAATGCACTATCCCGCAACTAACTCATTAGTTGCATTGATTGCAAGGCTTATAGTGATGCGCATTACCGAGAGGGCCCAGAGACACCTCTTCGACAATCTGTAGAGCACCTTTATAATCACCCAGTTACGATGTGACGTTTGGTAGCACACAAAGTGTTCCTTCGGTATTCGGGAGTTGCATAATCTCATAGTCATAAGAACATGTATAAGTCATGAAGAAAGCAATAGTAGTAAACAAAAACGATCAAGTGCTAAGCTAATGAAATGGGTCAAGTGAATCACATCATTCTCCTAATTATGTGATCCCATTAATCAAATGACAACTCATGTCTATGGCTAGGAAACATAACCATCTTTGATCAACGAGCTAGTCAAGTAGAGGCATACTAGTGACACTCTGTTTGTCTATGTATTCACACATGTATCAAGTTTCCGGTTAATACAATTCTAGCATGAATAATAAACATTTATCATGAAATAAGGAAATAAATAATAACTTTATTATTGCCTCTAGGGCATATTTCCTTCAGTCTCCCACTTGCACTAGAGTCAATAATCTAGATTACACAGTAATGATTTTAACACCCATGGAGCCTTGGTGTTGATCATGTTTTGCTCGTGGAAGAGAGTTAGTCAACGGGTCTGCAACATTCAGATCCGTATGTATCTTGCAAATCTCTACGTCTCCCACCTGGACTTGATCCCGGATGGAGTTGAAGCGTCTCTTGATGTGCTTGGTTCTCTTGTGAAATCTGGATTCCTTTGCCAAAGCAATTGCACCAGTATTGTCACAAAAGATTTTCATTGGACCCGATGCACTAGGTATGACACCTAGATCGGATATGAACTCCTTCATCCAGATTCCTTCATTCGCTGCTTCTGAAGCAGCAATGTACTCCGCTTCACATGTAGATCCCGCCACGACGCTTTGTTTAGAACTGCTCCAACTGACAGCTCCACCATTCAATATAAACACGTATCCGATTTGCGATTTAGAATCGTCTGGATCAGTGTCAAAGCTTGCATCAACGTAATCATTTACGATGAGCTCTTTGTCACCTCCATAAACGAGAAACATATCCTTGGTCCTTTTCAGATACTTCAGGATGTTCTTGACCGTTGTCCAGTGATCCACTCCTGGATTACTTTGGTACCTCCCTGCTAGTCTAATAGCAAGGCACACATCAGGTCTGGTACACAGCATTGCATACATGATAGAGCCTATGGCTGAAGCATAGGGAACACTTTTCATTTTCTCTCTATCTTCTGCAGTGGTCGAGCATTGAGTCTTACTCAACTTCACACCTTGTAATACAGGCAAGAACCCTTTCTTAGCTTGATCCATTTTAAACCTTTTCAAAATTTTATCAAGGTATGTGCTTTGTGAAAGTCCAATTAAGCGTCTTGATCTATCTCTATAGATCTTGATGCCCAATATATAAGCAGCTTCACCGAGGTCTTTCATTGAAAAACTCTTATTCAAGTATCCTTTTATGCTATCCAGAAATTCTATATCATTTCCAATCAACAATATGTCATCCACATATAATATTAGAAATGCTGCAGAGCTCCCACTCACTTTCTTGGAAATACAAGCTTCTCCAAAAGTCTGTATAAAACCATATGCTTTGATCACACTATCAAAACGTTTATTCCAACTCTGAGAGGCTTGCACCAGTCCATAAATGGATCGCTGGAGCTTGCACACTTTGTTAGTACCCTTTGGATTGATAAAACCTTCAGGTTGCATCATATACAACTCTTCTTCCAGAAATCCATTCAGGAATGCAGTCTTTACATCCATTTGCCAAATTTCATAATCATAAAATGCGACAATAGCTAACATGATTCGGACGGACTTAAGCATCGCTACTGGTGAAAAGGTCTCATCGTAGTCAACTCCTTAAACTTGTCGAAAACCTTTCGCAGCAAGTCGAGCTTTGTACACAGTA